ATCAAATTCCGAAGTACAGAAGTACATACATACTTCCTTACATCTTTTTACAGACATAAGCATGAATAAACATCTATTTTAATTTTCTATTCACTGCTATTACTACAAAAATACATAGTGCTTTTGATTTTTTTAAAGACGCGGCGTAACCGATAAAAATTTCCAAATTACGCTTTATGCAGATGCATCAAAAAACATCCTCCGTTACGCGCCGAATTAATAAATTACTGTTGATATACTGAATTTCGGAATATTTATAGTGGTACCGTAGCTGAGAGGATATCAATATAAGTAATTTATATTGTAACTACTCTGTAGGCGGGTATGGGTCACTGAATTAGCAGTTTACGGTAATCCGCAACTTGAACCTCCGAAACTCTAAAGCTAGAAATTTGTTTATTTAAATGATTTAACCTGTCTATAATTTCTATAAATTACAGAAAAATAATCGTTAATGTGATCACAAACATAGGGAAATTTATTTTATTTACAGAAATAAAAATTTTGTATTGCAAATTGGGAAATATATCATTTAACCTTAACCATATAAATTTCCATAGATATAATTTCATTTTTGATGATATTAAAATTTCTTAAGCAGGAACTACGAACAAAGAATGTTTGGATTAGATTACGGAAATTGATGAACAAATGTAACTTTAATCACTATGACTAAGTCGATTTGGCTGAACGGAAAATTAATTACTTAGCCTCAATAAAAAATTCAATGAATAGATCGACTTAGACAAGAATATATTTATATCATCATTAGATGAAAAATACAGATTCTCCTGTATTTGTATGACAAACTTACTTTATCACATTCTATAAATACAGTACATCAAGTCCTGGATTTTCAAAAGTCATTTCAAGTGTCTAATAGTTATCATATTTGTTATTTACAAATCATTATTTATGAGAAATCTCTAAATGCCACGGTACAAAGCAACTAAAGCATGTGATTCTTGCAAACATTTAAAAACCAAATGCGTAATGCTTGATCAGGGTACTAGGTGCAGCAAATGTATAAGTCGTAATGTTGAATGCACTTATTTGGTTCAACAAAAAAAACGAGGGCGAAAACCTCTGAATGACAAAAATATCCCTACAATTAGTAGAGATTCTTCCAGCAATAATAATGAAAACATCCTTGCTCTTAATAGAGAAATTGCCAGCAATAATAATGAAAATATCCTTACACTTAGTAGAAATTCTTCCAGTAATGACTATCAACAAGATGACCATGGTTTATCTTTGGAGGAAATAAATTTGTTTATGAGGATCAATTATCCCTTCTATTAGATACTCCAACTTCCATCTCACTATTGCCATACTCATATGAAAATATTACGGGTCATTATCATGAAGAATATATTGTAAGATATAATTATCTGCTGAGAGTAACATTTATTATTTTGAATGAGCTCACCATGATCTCATAAAATTTTAAAAATTCGATTAATTTATCCTCTAAGTGTATTATCGTTTACGATTTTGGGGAAAATAATGCGAAAAAATCAACTTTCGATTATATTACGTTTTATTTAAATCAGATGTTAACTCGAATGTTAACAATAAAAGTGATGTTATGTTAGTCATAGTAAAAGCGAATAATTCTATACGCATAAAATTTCGGTCGGATAATAATAGTCATAGAGATTCCCTATTATCTTTAACATTTTAATCCGATATCTTAAAAATCATGATGGATTTTTAATTTTTTTAACGTATCACGCTGTAATCGTAATGACGTCATGATCATGAATTAATATTAAAAAAAATCAGTTAACTTTCTAGACAATTTATAGTGATTTGAAGAAAATACGAAATTTTGATGTTATAAATCTTTTTTAACTGGTCATATACGATAATTTATGTTCATTTAAATTTTAACAACTGTCGATATTTTGATTTTTTTTTTTTAAACTAGTACAATACGATGGGTGTTGCATTTACACCACCCATCTTATTTAGTAATTTTTATTGTATCAAACTTTACAAATTTGTTTATTCGATGTTTAGTTATTATTATTTTGTTTATGTTAAATATATGACTTAAGGTTTAAATTTAAGGTTGTGTTGCTTAAAATTTATAGTTTGAAGTGGTTGCGATTTAGATTATTCATGTGCTTTTAAATAGTTTCGATTTTTGATCGTGAGATTATGTATCATGTGAAATTTAATGGAAGATCTGTTTTTTAAAAAAAATTGTAGATAATTTAGAATTTACTAATTTCATCCCCAAGGCTGATTGGCTGCACTTTATTACTTCGATAGTAAAATGCTGAAATTGGGCATCCAATAATTTAACGTTTGTTGTTAATTTTAAATTTTTCATATGCATGCGCCTTTATTTCTAGGCTCGATTATAAAATTTACAAGATATAAGATAAGGTGGGCGCCACCGGCTCTCCTATTGTATAACTTGTGCCAATTTTGGTCAAATTCTTTGTCTATTCCCCGACATGTCATTTACCCAACATCACGCTGGGTGACGGTTTACTAACAATATGCACCCACAACTAATAGAATGTTAAATTTTCACCCTTGTGATGTCGAGTAAATGACATACCAAGAAATAGTTTTCGAGAAAATGAACGTATATCGTCAAACATCAGTTAGATCATATACTCATTATTTTGTATAAAATTCGAATATAGGAAATTTTTGATTCGCCCACACTTATTTTACCGACAATTTCATTTCACCAACAGTTTATTTCACTGACACTCAATTCACTGAGAAGTTTTTTTTCATAATTCTGCTAACCTTAACTCTAATCCTAACCTGACCCTAATGCAATGACTAGAATTATTTTGTTAAAATGAGTTTCGGTGAAATAAACTGTTATGAAATGAACTTGGTGGAATAAGTGTCGGTGGTGAAATGTTACGTTGTTACGGAAAATTTCTTCGAAATTTTCCTTACTGTATATATTTTCTTTTCTTTGTGTTGTATAGTTCGTCTTTTCTATATGT